GGTGATTCACTTCTCATGATTTGGAAGCAAAAAGATTTGTAAATGTGTTTTTATAATTTTTACAATAGAATGTTAAACTTTTTGTCACGTTCTTTCATTTTAAAAATTATGCAAAATTATTTAACTATAATCTGCCTATTGTTACTTAGCAAAGAAAGAAAAACATAAATTACGAACTTGATTGCACAAAGAGAGAGAGAGAGAGAAAGGAGAAAGGACCAAGAATAGCTTGCAGATAGGCTATTGGTCATGCTCTTCATCTTTAACCAAGTTGTCTCATCTAACAATCACAACTGATATTCATCTAACAACTACAATTAATTTCGGCAACGAATCAGTAATTCACTTGATGTCCCATTTTCAGTATACTCCTCTCTCTCTCTCTGCTGGGAATTTTTGCTGCCAAATAAACTACGGGGACAACGATGGTAAACAGTGACGCGTTAAGCTTCATACACCTCAACTCAACTCGTGATTGAAGAGATAAATAATACCCAACTCAGGTTCAAGTAGTACCAGACTCAGGTTCAAGGGGCTGTTTAGAGAAAAACAAACTTTATTCATTACTCAATAATCTTAGTATGTGTATTGCTTAGAGCCGTCGAATTTAGATGGAGACCGATGGTTGAGATCAGGCATATATGAACACCTTGTTTAGTGTGTGTTGAATGTATGAATTTAAATAAAATATTGTGTGATTTATCTTATCTTATCTATGAAATTGAAAAGTTGAATTAATTCAATGAATACATTAATATATGTGTCAATTGATATAATAGATAAATAAAAATGATATTATTGAAATATTTTTAATGATCGTAATTGATCAAAAGACTTGTCATGGGCAACACCACCACGACAAACCACATCCCACCACCGTGATAGTCCAACTATAGATTATTCTTGTTTCGCTCTAACTCTTTGTTGGGATTTTGGAGGCTCTCTTTACTTTGGAATTAGTCTAGGTTTCCAGGAATCAAAGATGCACCAGCAGAAGAAGCAAACAGCTATGAAAAATCAGCAAGAACAGATGAAAAACAGCAGAAATAGAAAACGACATAGTAGGAATTAAACACCGAGAATGGATTTTGAACAAGAAGAAAAACCTCTTCCTAACACTTTATTACCAAAGCAAAAACATGATATACAAACATGAATTCTCCAGAAAGATTTTTTCCCAGAATTCAAAGAGTTTTACCACTATTAAACAATCTCACTTT